CCCCCCCCCAAAAAAAAAAAAAAAAAGAACTTTTGGGTTGATGGGGGGATGTACTGTAGTGTAGTTACAAACAGTACAATAGAGTATTTGGGATTATAAAGAAAGGCTTCAATGGATCGGGTGTGTATAAAAATAAATGGCGCTAAGATTTTGGTTTGTAGAAAAGCTCATCTCAATTCACAATATCGTGTGTCTCACGGTATTGGTTGGAAAAAAGGTAAAAAACAACATCACTTTGTATTTCGGGTCTAAAGTGATTTTGGAAGTGTGTAGGTTTTAAAAATAAATAGGGGGTAAGACTTTGGATATATAGACAACGAATCGTAGTAAAAGTTTGGGAGTGGGTGGTTTGGAAATAAGTAGGGTAGAACTTTTGATTTATAGGCAAGAATCAGAACTATGAATGTGAGTGGGCTAAAAAAATAAATGGAAGGAATCATTGGACTTAGCGGTGAAAAAATATTTATAGATTAATGGGGTGTACTGTAGCTATGAACACTTCATGGGTCTAGTACTAACCCCAATTGTTTTAGTATAGATGGTAATGTTTTCATTTCTGAAATTTAAAAAGTATTTTGTGCTTGCTTGATACTGTTCAGGGAGATTGTCTGGTGTCATGGATGACCGTGGTAAATATATATACATTTCTCCTGAAGAAATGAAGGCAGTTGCAGACTACATTAAGAGACAGGGAAGGGTCAGCATCTCACATCTTGCCAGCAAATCCAACCAATTCATTGATCTCGATCCGAAGCCTCAGTTCGACAATGAACTTAGCGCAGCAGATGAAATAGCTGTTGCCTAGAGTTCATGTGAATAACGTTACATATATACTCACACGAGCAAATGAAAAGTTGAGTAATATACTTTCGTGAGGAACTAAGATGTATTGTCATCCACCCCCAGTAAATTTTCACAGCACACCCTTTTTCTTTGTAACGTGGTGATGAAATCTTATCGCTCATTGTATTGGGAAATGTTGCGTCTTGCTTGGTACTTGGTAGAAAACTAGAAATACAGTATGTTAGTTCTAGTTGAATTCGATTGTCTATCAAGGTTTATCTGGTTGTGGCAAACTTAGTTAAAGGCTTGCTCCATTGGCTGGTTTTCGACCTGAATGATGCCTTACATGTGCAAGCAAAAACTCTCAAATGTACAGGACGCACTTCCTGTATGTATACGTGAATACGGCATGAAAATTGGAGAAGCGAAATATGCTGTGTTTTTGTTAGGCCGCTATTTTGGATGCATACGCGGACAAATACAAATTAAAAAAAACGAAAACAAACTATATTTAGGTTACACCTCACACTAAAGAGGACACAAGTTCAAGACCTTCATGAACCGTGTACTTCTGTACAACCATTATCTTATAGAGTTTTTCTTGAAAATTCACACGTACAAGTGCATTTAATTGATACAAGATCTGAACTAAAATCCAGGTAATTGCATGACAAAAATTATAATCTACTTTCTTATCACCTTGCCACTCGCTGCATGCTACAAGTCGAGATAAATCCAAAATCACAATATTTGAATCCACGAAAAATGGCACAAATCTTGAGACAAGATGAGTGGATAAAAAGTTTGGTGGACAATGCCTCCTATCCACTTAAGTTTGGTGGACATAAAAATTTCTGTCTCACATAATTACCACGAACATACGTATCATTTCAAAAGACAAAAACGACTATCTTGATATTAAAAAAAAAGCATACGTATTGCGATTACACGCAATCCAGTAGTTAAGTCAAATCTAGTACGCATATCGATCCAATTAGGGGCTGTTTGTTTTGAGTATTTTGCCTCGGGGAGGGGGTGGAAAGCTGCCGGCAGCTTTCCACCCCCTTCCCGAGGCAAAAAAACCCAAAACAAACAGCCCCTTAGGTGCCACATCTCTTATTTATGACATCTTTGGAGATTCGAAACATCAAAAAGATTCACTCGCACATTAACAAACGGAGAAGAAAAAGCTTCAGAACAACAACAACAACAAACCCTTCAATACAAAGAACAAACTCCAGAATGTAGACATAAATTCTCTTTTCTTCTTTTTCACATTTTGTTAAATATGAAGGAAGCTTCCGATAAGAAGCTTCCTGTATTTGGAACAACACGTATACAACGATGACTGTAGTCATGGTATAATCAGAATGTTGTGTACATTGTACAATTAATTTAACATAACACAACACCGTCTTATACATCATTCATACTTGAACCTCCAACGGCACTTGAATCCGAGGCCTCTGAGCTGATATGCTTTGAAAATACATAAAATTGCTGTGGAACTGTAGTTTTGTCTTGGCGACTATGGTTTCTTTGCCTGTTGGAATAATGTACAGATGACAACTTTATATCACAAGCACGCATTGATAAAACATGTATATGGAAGAAAGAAGACGGGATCATATTTATTTCTCGACTAAACCTATAAAAACCAGGAAATAATCCCTGAAAAGGTTGATAAAATCTGGAACTACATGATAAGGCACGGAGAACAGAATAAATTGTCTCGCTAGCACTACTCGATGTAATTATATGCAAAATTTGATGTTGCTGAGGAATTTATTCATTCAAGTAGGAGCTGCAGAGCCAACTGTGGACTACAAGCCACAGATTAGCTTTTGTTCTTCCTATGATTGGAAAGGAGAACAAAAGATAAATTCAGTCACTCCAGAAATTGGTTAAGTTTCAGCCACAGATGCCGCCTCATTTTCCTATGCATTAAAATGGTAGGGTAAAATGTGTGTCCTCTAGTATCAGTTCCAAGATCCATAATTTTTTTAGTTCAAAGACACATGCCCAAAAATGATAAAGAATAAATGATATATATACAAAAGAAAAGCGTTACATTAAGAGAACATGACTGCATAACACTTTATTAAAAGAAGCCTTACCTTTTTTAAATACTTCTTGTGAAGTTTCAACGCTCCGCTGCAAGCTTTTTTTGCATCCAAATTTCCATTGATGTCATTCAAAATCTGGTAGTGAGACAAAAAGCTCAGTTGACGAAATTTACACCTTTATCTAGAAGTTTTTTTTAATGTTTATTACCAGAACAGATCGAAAAAGATTTATAAAAAACATCACGACGCTAGTCTTTGATTTTACCTTAACCACATCGTCCAAGCCACGCGCTTCTTGCAATAGTTTTGCACTATTGTCCTTGAGGACACTAGCGACAAGAAAAACTGTAATGGGGAGTGGAGCATCAGTTTTAGATCTCATATTTTCACGCTCATACTTTCCAAACTGACGAATTGATTTTGCTTTCCCTTTAGATCCCTCTTGCTTGTCACCGGAAACTCCTGCTTCTTGTGCTTCGTACAAGGAGAAGAAGTCAGGGTCATATTCCAGAGCCCACATCATCTGTATACAAGTTTATGATATAAAACATCAGAGATGGAACAAACATAGCATTCTCTTCTGTATAAAACAGGCGTATCTGGATCAGAAATAACTGATCTTCTCACCTCCCAAAGAAACAAGGAATCTCCAAATGAGAACTCTCGGCGAAATAATACCATAAACATACGGAATGCAAACAGATAGTCACCTCCACCTAAAGTTTCTGCATTCAAAAGCCAAATTTAACTTTCTCAATATTTTTAAGACAAGGGAAAGAATTCACTTCAGAGAAAGGCAAAATCCTGAACTTAATTGCGTATGGTGCTGTCTTGAGATGAAAAGCGATGCACGTGTCAATATACACAAAAAGAACAGTGGGTAGCTAAAACAATTAGAAAAAATCCTCGTATTTGTCCGGCATTATCGTCACATTGCTGAGAGTACAAATACTCAACACACATGAACTAAAAACATACCAAGGTGTTGATGAAGTTTCGGGTCAAGAACTTGAGTAATTGATGCTAAACTTTGCAGTTGACTCTCGACGCCAACAGATTGGTCTGTGCATCTGAAATTTCCTCGCTTTAAAAATAAATAACAATTTGTATTAAAAGCAAGTTGAAGATACAATAAAATAAATTATTATATTCAATTACATGAAGACACGCATAAGCAAGGTTTTGAAGTCATGGCAGTATATACATAGAAAACCATATTGATTTGAGCCAATAATTCATTGCACAGTATCATGATGGTGAAATTTAATTTAATAGAATATAGATACAAATATGGCTATCAATTTTAATGGTCTTCATATTTTTAATGACTCAGAGTAACACAAAAGAAGTTACTGTCACAAAGTAAATCAATAACTTTTTGTGCCAAATTATACTAGATCATAAAAGTTCCTTACAGTTGATAGATAGAGATAGAGGAAAGGTGAGCTAACTTTCTGGAGAGATAAATAACTTTTTGAAATCAAATGGCAGTAAAGGATACATACCAATCTGCGCATTAAGCGCTCAAAACACCAAAATGCATCTGCTTCATCGTCAAGAAGCATTATCATTGGAGAGCAGAGATCGCTCATTCCTGGCCATAACCATAAGTAACATTGACACTATCTTGATAAAATATGGTAGGAATAATATGATTGAGAATTATACTCTCAGTTACCTTGACAGTAGCCAACATCTCTATCTATCCAGGCATAGACAGCTAGGATATCCCACAGTTTCGATAGATTTTCTTGTTTCTCATAAAACACAAGTGTTCTGTCAGTACGAAGAACGTCGAGACCTGTCATGTCAAGTCAATTCACAATGAAAATTAGTTTAGATAGGGGGAGTGTATTCACATTTCACTCCAGCTATTTATTAATCGTAGTATGGGGGGTTCTTCATTATACTGAAGATAAAAGTATGGCTCTTATAATATCACTCTTACCATAATATGCTTGATATCAAATTATCTCTATGTGCGAATGTAAAGCTACAATAAAAAAAGAGACCATGTCTTACTTTGGACAAATATTTGCAATTATGTAGTATTAGACTATCAATGACGAAAGTATAATGTCCTCACTACACATTAACCTACAAAAGAAAATATATTCAATTACAAAATTATGGAAATTACTGAAAGCTACTGAAATGATCAGGAATTCCGACTCCCTAAAATAAACAGGAACTGGATCTGCAATTATTTTTCTACTCCTTAAAACAAGCAGAAACAGATGCCAAACTGATTTAAGAGAACAGATGTAATGTAAGTTGCATCATTTGAAACTGTCGACAAATAAGAGAAGAGGTAGCACACATCAAATAATGCCTACCAATTTGATGTAGTGTCAGTTTCCACTCAATTATTTTCTTGTCTGTAATTCGTTGACCTTTGTCAACGGGGGAGTTGTTGCTACTAAGATTTCCATAGCTTCCTGAATCAGCTTGGTTGGGAATGGCTTGAAGCAGCACCAAAGGATCTTGAATAGGCTCACCGTCCTCTGTGATTATTGGAGCTGTAATAAGTGTACCACTTCCAACGTGAGAATCTATCGCTCGACATTCTTCCTTCCATTTGGCATATTTCACTCTGCGTAAAAATTTATTAACATCAAGACTTCCATCTGGCATACAGATACCAAGTACAATGATTTATACATGCAAGTCATTTGTAGCAAATGTCTAGAGCTAAATCATGAAATACAGATTTAGTTCAACATGCACATACAGAGTTTAAAGACTTCAAGAAGGTCTACCATAAAAGGGATCTACCTTCGTCTTTGCCGCACTTGATCTCTCTCTTCATAGGTGCTTCTGGGATCGAAACAACCAAGTAGAAACTCCCAAACTTCTCCTCTAATTGTGGGATGGATACCCTAATCAATTAAAGATATCCTTATTAACAAATAGTAAAATATCCATAATTAGGATGTTTATAGGAAAACGTTTTCATCATTAAATTTTTTCTCCTTTGAGAAGTGGATAAAGTGGCCTTACTCCTCTTTGAATTCGGGTTAGAGTTGGTGCTATATCCAAGTAACCCTCTGGACTAAATGCAGCCTGCCATCTTCTTTGGCTAAGAGTTTTACCATTCTGCATTAACAAATCGCAAACATATGTACTTGATAAATGAGTAAAAGCTAACACAAACCATAGTAAAATTTCTATAAAGACAGTTTTGTGTACTAAATCAAATAAAGGCACAAACACAAAGTCCAGTACTACCAATTGGATTAAATTTTTTTTTTCCTTTGAGAAATGGAGAGTCACGCTAATGAAGAGTCTCCTTCATAAGAAATCGTGGCAGGGTAAAGGGTCCAAGATTTCAATTGATATATCACAAAACATATAAATGATTTCTAATCTAAAGATAAAACCCCATGTAAAATTTTGATCATTTTTCTTCCCAACAAAAATTCCAACAAATAAGCAAAGCTTAACTCACCACGTTTCAAATAAATCAGCTGCACAACTTCATGTCGAAATGGAATTGGTCTTGGGGACATCATCGGCGCACTCAGCCCTGACCTCATAGAAGGAATCAGTAGGAAGCCCTGGATCCCTCCACATCTCCTAATTCCAAATCAAAACCCAACAAACTCCCCGCCAAAATATTAAAAAAATAAAATAAAAAAAAACCCACAAAATATTTTGCGAGGGAATCAAGCCCCTGCGATCGAAATGGATCCTTTTTTTACTTTAAAGACATTTTTGAGAGAAGAGGACCCAAACCGAGAGCGCTGGGGTGGGAGGGATCGAACTGGGCAAAGGAATTTGGAGGGAGAGAAGAGGAGGAGGAGGAGCTGAGGTTATTTTGGTAATTTAGAGGATGTTTAGAATCTAGAATTAGTCCGTGGTGATTATTATTTGTTTTTTTTTTTTTTTTTTGGGCAAAGGAAAGAGGAGAGGAGACCCGTTCTCAAAGGAGGTTGGCAGTTAGGTAGGTATTTTAGTCACCTATTTTTGCCACCAAGATTTCTATATTTGTAAAAGTTACTGTGAAATTTTCCCTATTTATAAATTTATCATGATTTGTTTTTTTTTTATAGAAAAATGATGGTTTATTGTTTTTTTTATGTAGAACCTATATGTTTTGCGTGCAGTAAGTAAATATTCATCGAAGCTGAAACTATTTTATTTAATACTGTATTTCATTGATAAACAGTATTATACTGTAAGCTGAAGTTCCAGTGTTCCCTCCAAGATAAACATAATGGATGTACTATTATTAACACATATTCAAAGACTTCATACTGCCATATGTCCGATATTGTCTTCAATTGTTACTGCCAAACTCAACAAGCCCTTCATGGCTAGAAAGCGTTCGAAGAAATGGCTCAACCGTGTTTGTCTCCTCCGATTAGAGCTTGCATTTGGAGATGGGCTTGACCTTGACGAGGGAAGTGACGAAGGTTTGGTTGGAGACTAGCACGGTGAATTCTAATTGTGTTCCTGCTTATTTTAGTGCATGGTGGTAGAATCCAAATTGCCTCGTGATCAGATACTCGAGACGGGCATTTCTCTCACTCTGACTGGGGTAACCTGCGTGTGACTTAAATAACCGATTTTTTTTTTGTGTCAAGTTGAGGTTGAATGAAGCTTTGAGAATCCTTGACGACAGTGTTAACAATGGTCCTTACACGAATATAAAAACCTTTGCCATTGTGGTCAAGGGGCATTGTGAAGGAGGGAAGCTAGAGGGGGCATTAAGGATCGTAGAAACAATGCCTCAACTGATGGTCTATGTGAAATAGGCAAGGTGGAGTTTACGCCTAACATTCTCATGAAACATGGGAAAATAGCTGGATTTAAAAATATTGCTGCTTACGTTATCAGGTTATTGCAATATGCAACACGGATAGTGCCAATGAGCTGTTATGTTTTGGCGAAATTGGCTGCTAATGTGTTAAACTGTTGTTTTGTGCGCTCACATATTCTTTCAGCAGAAAGCTTTGTTTTAAGTTTTTGTACTGATTAAACCGGGTAGTAAACTTATTTATCTTGCTTAACTTTGCTGCTTTAAGCCATAAACTGTAAAGATAATATTGATGTGTTTCTTATTTGATTCAGGGCTTCAAAATTATGTTCCGTATTTTATGCCTGGTTCTGTTGAATCAAGAAGCTGTTTATGTTTTGATGTTGCAGAACTCCACTTTATGCCAAGTTACCCAGGTCAGTCGCCTAATTCTTGGACATGTCTTTGTTAGAGCCTGTCTTCAAGCTCATTTTTTTTGTCTACTAAATTATTGTTACACTTTATACAAATCATGATTCCTGTTCACTGATTATGTTTTGTTTTTGTTGTTGGCTTTTGTGTGTATATATACAAGGTTATACTATCTGTTCTCATATGTTCTACGTCGACAGTTTATTGTGAGCCCTTGTAAATTGTGTGTAAAATATTTTGTTTGAATTTTGTAAAATTTCATCTCAAGCTGTCGATCATCGGTAACATTTAGTAAATATATGAATGGGTTTGTTGGGGTAGAGGAGAAATGACTACAAAGCAATATGATGATATGTAATATTTCTTGTGCAACTATATAACTTGGGAGACAAATGTGAATCTGACTTATGAATCGAATAATAGTTAACCTCCGATTTTAGTTCAAAGAATGATGAGTCTAATTAGAAATGTGTTTGAGAGTTACATTTAAATATGATTGTTTGGTAAATTGATGGTTAACAAACTTTAGACTATGAAGAAGCTTCTAGTTTGTTCCATCCCTGTTTAGTAATTACCCACTGCAGGTATGTTTTATTAGCACTTAAAGCTAATGAAGAGCAAAAGAGTGATATTCAAGTTAGAGTAATATTCAAGTTATGGCATCCTAGTATTGATTCGAAGGTACTTAGAATGGATAAGCTATTGCCCTAAGCAAACACTCTGCCCGCAAATAAAACCAAAATATCATGAATTTGGTTCGCTCTTTCAATGAAATATAAGTAAGCAAATGCACTGACCTGACACGTCCCTATATCATGCATCACAATCTTCTACTTGAATCACTCTACTTACAAAAACCTCACAGCCCTCATCTATGAAGGAAACACATAAGAAAAAGCTCATGGCCTTCGCCATCGGAGTCCTCGCCCTCCTTGCACTAGCCGTCCTCATCCTCTACTTCATATTCAGACCAAGACCACCGGTGGTAATACCTACACCGGTCAGCCTCCTGCACTTTGATTTCAGCCCGGACCACACAATCATCCATAGCATTATAATGGGTGTCGATGTCTTGCTCAAAAATCGTAATCTAGCCCCTTTCATATACTACGAGTCAGCAGCTGTAGTCTACTACCACGATGTGCTTGTTGGCGAGGCTCCGATAGCTGCAGGGAGGATAGGGGCGAGGAAAACTGAGTATATAGGAACACCAGTTGAATTACTTGTTGATAGGTTGGTTGATAGTCCTGAGTTTTTGCCTGATGTTACTGCTGGTCTTTTGAGTCTGATTGCTACCTCGAAGACACGGGGACGAGCGACTATTTTAGGGTTTGTCAAGTTGCGTGCGATGATAGCTGTGGAGTGTCATGTCAGTGTTTTTGTGTGGGAAGGTGCAATTAGTTCCAAATGTATTTCAAGCATAAAATTGGGTTAATTGCAAATAGATCCCCTGCACTATCATTGCGGATAGACCCTCTGTACTATTCATGTGGATAGACCCCCTTTACAATTTGGCCGAGTGCAGATAGACCCCCTGAGTGAATTTTTTTTTACGCTTAAAAGAGTCAAAAAAGTTCACTCAAATGGTCTATCGGCACCGACAGAACTACAAAGGGGCTATGCACAATCGAGAGATAGTACAGGGGGTGTATTCGCAATTAACCCTATAAATTTGATTGTTCCTCTCTTCTTTATGAAAGTGTTTTCTTCTTCTTCTTCTTCTTCTTTTTTTTACTGTCCGTTTCTTTCGTTTTGTTTTCTTTTTCCAACTGAAAAGAATCCAATATTATGTTGCCTTCAAATCTTAGTCCCTGACTGAAGGATCATTCACGAGGGAGAATGTCGATAATCCTTAGTAGTCTCTGATGGAAACAATATAAGTTAACTACACCAAGTACCCAAAAAATTTCTGAATATTAGCATTTATATACTTTGATATGATTGTGTATGCAGTTTAATACCTCAAATTATTTTCTTTTAAATGACCTTTATGATGATGGATATACTCCAAAAGAAGCCGAATTATCTTTATCACTGTTGTTATTGTTATATCTTTGACAAATATTAGTGTCCAAAACCTATCACTTGTGACTCAAATGAGAACTGGAGTATTTAGCTACAAACTAAAGGAAAATACGTCGATTGCAAAAGGTGTGAGAATACGGGATATCAAAATTGTAGAGAAACTAAAGGAAAATACGTCGATTGCAAAAGGTGTGAGAATACAGGATATCAAAATTGTAGAGAAACTAAGGTGTATGTATTTTAGGTACTCAACTGCAATTGAACCAAAACAATAGACCAATGATTAGCCAATGTACCTATATCATTGTATACTTAGATCTGCAACTAATTTTTGTTACCAACTGACCATCATATACGAATTTCTGAAATGCGGTGTATTTGAAATCGTGTCTGTAGGATTTACAGAACCTTACCTTCACTTCCTGCATTTGGATGAGAACTCTGAGGTATTTGCATCAGAGATCTTTTGTGAAATTTTTATACTCACATTTACAGCTATTTGCATCAAAAATACCCTTCATAATTATTGTATTGTGTTCTGTATATATATGCCCACTTAAGTATATAATTTAGCTCGATTAGAACTTTGGCATGCCACTTTTCTGAAATTGTCATCCTTGACACACAGAATCTTGGTGTATTTCTTTGTATTAGGAGAGAATTTCCCAGAAGGCATGATCTTTACTAGTGCACGAGTTCAGTTGGCATCACCTTGACTTCGTAGAATCAAAGGGTACCTAGCTGATGAAACACTGAAGATGGGGCAATGGCAACTGACTCGTTTATCCAAATTAATTCATGTACAATTTACTCGAAGAACGTTCAAAGTTTAGAAATACAATGAGAAGGTAGGTGCATCATGGAGCTTATTGCAAGTAAAGGATAAGACCGTGATTAACATATAAAGTATAAATATTGATAAAGCCTTGTGATTCTACTAAAACAAATATTCAGTTGATTTGGTAAGAAATAGTGCAATTCTAGAACTGCAGAAGTCATATGTTTATTACATTTAATTAGAGAAGAATAATGATATCTTTTGTCTTATGTCCTATGCAATATGCATCATGTTCTGTCTTATGTCCAGTGTCGTTTGTCTTATCTTACAGGTTAATTGGATTATTAGCCATTTTATTTATCTTTTAATTGGACATTCATGTTAGGGTTTGAGATGCAAGCCTTTTTTTTTTTTTTTTTTTCTTTTTGGGGGGGGGGGGGGGGGGGGGGGGGGGGGGGGGGGGGGGGGGGGGGGGGGGGGGGGGGGGGGGGGGGGGGGGGGGGGGGGGGGGGGGGGGGGGGGGGGGGGGGGGGGGGGGGGGGGGGGGGGGGGGGGGGGGGGGGGGGGGGGGAGGGGCGGGGGGGGGGAATAGGATGTACCTAGCAGTTTTTTTGATAAAAGCACAAAATATGCAGCGGAAATAAAACAATAAGCAAAGCAATAAACTTAGAAAATAATCATAATAAATCACAACCTAAACACACAAAAAATTTTATAGTGATTTGGATAAACAATCTCACATCCACTGTTCGTTCTCGCGAATGGGCTTTCTCACTATGATGAAAGTTCTTCTGAGTTATAAACCCAATTCAGTAGGCTTACAAAACCGAAACACTAGTTTACTTCAAACTTGTTGTCTAACCTAAATTCTTCTAGCTAGTGACTAATCTCTCAATTCAACCTTGGCTTGAGTACACCGTAAACCCTTAATTCACATTGGCTTGAGTATGTCGTAAAAATAAGTTTAAAACTATGTATTAAATATCAATTAAGCACAACACAAAAAGATCTTATAGTCCTTTATTTATGCAAACCATTCTCCGAAGGCTTTAAGCGAAGATCAATAAAGAATGTCGTTGATGTTGAAGTCCAAGGGCAGCACTCCTTACAAGTTGACGATCTAATGATGTTGTACAGTGTCGAGGATGTAAATTGAGAAGTCTGAGTAAGAATAATCGCCAAAGGTGAAACCCTAGACCTCTCTCTCTCTCTTCCTCTCTCTTATTCTTTGTGAATTAGATTAGAAATTCTCTAATAAAATCATGAGGAAAGAGCCCTTAAATAGCCTTAGCAATAAATGTACAGATTGAGTCCAAATCAGATCGGGATTATGAAATCAGAGCTCCACTTATCGATGTGACTCATTGATGAGCATAGCTCCAGGCTCATCGATGAGCATGTTGTCTCATCGATGATCGAGACCTTGTAATCAATTTTGCTTTCTGTCATTCTCTGTTCTTCTCAGACTGATCGATGAGCTTGACCTCCTCATCGATGCGCTTAGCTCTAGGCTCATCAATGAGCATGTTGCCTCATCGATGAACATGTTATCTCATCAATAAGTAACACCCTATTTTGCTGATTTTAACTCATTTCTTGCTCTTTTCACTTTCAAACTTGATTCTAACTTCTTATAACTTTAGGCCAATATGAGTGTTTAATATTCATCAAATTAAGTCAATTGTACGGACACATACAAACACAGTTCTAAGAAACTCCCCCTATTGATAATAACAAACCAAAAAATTGAAATCAAAACAACGAATATTTGATACATGAAATGTGTCAAACTCAGTTTCATAATATATGGAATATGATATGCAAACTCCCCCTATGCATTCGTGAGCTATAACCTTCGATTTTTGGTCATTTTTAGTCATTTTAACCCATTTGCAAATAATTTTACAAAGGTCATAATTCACGACTCATGAATTATAACTCAATGTTATTAACCATTTTTAGTGGTTTCAACCTGTTAGCGAATAATTTTCCAAAGGCTTATTCAAGATTCCATGAGCTATAACAAATGATTTTTAGCAGTTTTTACTCATTTCAACTTGTTAGCAAATAATTTATGGAGGCCAAAATTTAAAATTTCATGGGCTATGACCTATGATTTTAGGCTAGTTTTAGTTATTTCGATCGATTTGTAAAAAAATTCGTAGAGACTAAAATTCATGATCCCATGAGCTATAACTGACAATTTTTGACCATTTTTAATCCTTTTAACCCATGGGCACAGATGTCAGAATTCATAATTTTATTAGCTATAATTCATATTTTTAGGCATAGTAGATGTTTTAACTACTGGAAAATAGTTTCACAGAGGCTAAAATTGACTATTTCTTGAGCTATAACTCACGATTCTGGACCATTTTAAGTTTTTTTAACTTGTTGGTAAATAATTTCCTAGAGGCCAGAATTTAATATTTCATCTACCTACAGTTATTGGACATTTTTAGTCTTTTTGACTCATTGGTAAATAATTTTACAGAGATCAAAATCCATAATTTTATGAGCTATAATTCATAATTTTTTATCAGTTTTAGTCATTTGGGTCCATTGGTAAATAATTTTGCGGAGTCCAAAGTTCACAATTTCATGAGGTATAACACCATAATTTTGGTTGTTTTTAGCCATTTTGACATGTTGGCAAATCATTTCGCAAAGATCAAAATTCATAATTTGATAAGCTATAAGTCACTATTTTTGTTATTTTAATTGTTTTGGCACGTTGGCAAATAATTTCGTAGAGGCCCAAATTGACGCATTCATGAGCTATAACCCACGATTTTTGGCCTTTTTTATTGGTTTCAATCTGTTGACAAATAATTTCTCGAAGGTAAAAATTTACAATTTCATGAACTATAATCTATAATTATTAGCCATTTTTAGTCATTTCGTCCCATTGATAAATAATTTCGACGAGACCAAAATTCACGATTTTTGTCTATTTTTAGTAGTTTCGATCCATTTGAAAATAATTTCACGGTAGACAAAATTCATGACTTCATAAACTGTAATCCATGATTTTTGGTCATTTTTAGTACTTTTGATCCATAGACAAATAATTTTTCTAGAGCCTAAAATTCACGATTTTATGAGTTATAACCTATGGCCATTAGGCATTTTTAGTCATTTCGAGCCATAGGTAAGTAGTTTCGTGGATTTATGTAAAACCCCAAAAATTTAAATATTTTATGATAAATAATAATAAATATGTTATACATTTATAAATAATATATCTGATGTTTGAGTATGCTAGGAATTGATTTGAGATCAATTCAATGTATATATGTATATATATAAGAGCAGATGCACATTTCATGCTCGATGTATAAATCTGGTAAATCTATGACTAGTTAAGAGTTTATGTGTTTTACATATTGTTTCAGTTAGAATTTGGAAAAACTAAAAAGATCAAAGTTGTAGGTCTTTTCAACAGCTTTCCAACGAATCTTAGATCACCTCATTCCGAAGTCGTATTAGAAAGTTATGGCTTTTATACCGAACCTTAATCTGTGTGCAGACTGTCAGACGGTCGACCGCAGTGGGCTCGGCGGTCGACCGCTGGGCGCGCAGACGCCAGTTTCAGTTCTGTTTTCGGGTTGGTTTTGTTTATACCAAACCCGGTTGTTATCCTAGGTATATATACTTGTTTTGAAGCTCTCAGAACCCTCTTTTGAACCCTAATAGCCTCAGCCCCCCTTCTCTCTCTCCTCTCAAACCCTAGCTTCGTTTTTGGTGATTTTTTAGGAGTTCGAAGGATTTGCGATGGATTTTTGTGCGGATCAGCAAAGGGGATCATTCTCTTGTGAATCCAGGAGCTTTGTTCACCTCAGAGGCGAGTAACATCTCGCCCAATCTCTCACCCATGTCTTTACAAGCTTTTCTAACGATTTTAATGAGTTTTCTTGAGCCTAAATCACTATTTTGCGTATATAGATAGATCTGTATGATATGAGATGTGAAAACCAAGTATTTCAGTTTTCAAACACTCACCAATGATTGTGGTTAAAGAGATCTAAATCTGAAAATGTTTTATTAAGAGCTAAATTTTCGATTTTTACTGTTTTATAAAGTTTAAAACACTGGTATACATGTTCACGATTTTTAGTGATGATTTTTACATGCTGAATGTTGTTATATGATGATTCATATGTGTTAGAATATGTGATATATCGTTTGGAAGTAGGGATAAATTGTTTGGATCAATTTTGAAATAGAGAAAAACCTGAATTTTAGCATCTGCCAGTCTCACGGTCGACCGTAGCGCTATGCGCGGTCGACCGCTGGGCGTTCTGTCGAGCAGAATGTCTCTGCTCCTTTTTGCGGTCGACTGGAGTGTCCTCTGCGGTCGACCGCGATACTGTTTGTGCAGGATTTTAATTTTTTGTGTATATTATGTGTACGAATTGTTTACCTCGATTTTTCTGGCATTAAATTTACAGTATGGAACATTTGTCTATATATGTGAGTGACATTTGGATATCAGTTTAGACCCGCACACTGAGATACGTGTGTTACTAATATATGTGTACCTTTTCAATTATATGCGTCATGGACGTTGGCATAAGTTATATATATAGTCCATGTGTTGGACATGCGTTCAGCTTTCAGTCCTCGTGTTGGACTATAATCCATTGAAGTCCTCGTGTTGGACTATAATCCAATTTAGTCCTCGTGTTGGACATCTACATATTAGACCATGTGTTGGACATTTGTTAAGCTATGAGTATAACACTTATCTGAATCGGGACATGATATGATTACATGTGATTTGGACACGACAGCTACCTAGGCTGAACACGACACTTACGTGATCTTGACCTTTGACATTTATATGGTTTCGGCGTGACTTTTGATTACGTATTGAGATGGGTTGTTTCTTTTAGTTTATTATTCATGTATTAGACTTCGGGTTTGGTATTTAGGGCTTTACAATTTGAGATACAAGGTATATACATGAGAGTTTCATTGTTTGGATTATTTCGCTCGACGTACCTATGCTCGTGTTGTAATTTCCTAAATATTAAAACCCATTATTTGCTAGAATCAATGATTTTAACTATTATGTAATAACTGTATTTTCTGTATACAACGAGCCATTTTCCCTTGGGGTTGGTTGTGATGTTGCTCACTAGCGCTTTGACGCTCGTTGTCCCTCCCCCTTTCAGGTAACGAGCCAGGAGTCCGGATAGTCGCAGGTTG